ATTGAAAGAAATCCACCAGACAAGCAACTGCCTCTCCTCCTCGCCACGCTAATTCTACAGCAGCAATATGGTAAAATTTACGCATGAGACCTTCAGGAGTATTTTCATCTCATAGCAATGTTATTTTGTTAACTCCAGCCAAATTTAACGAAACTGAACTGGACTTACGTTTACGTGGATCTGCTTGTAGTTTCTTCCTGATTGCATCGCGGGCATCCCGGGCTGGTTTAAATACTATATTGTTAAACGGCTCAATCATAATATTATAGTCATTATGATAATTTTTTTGCATAAGTTTGCACGAAACGTTCCACATTGTCTTCACCGTCGCTTCTTTATATTCGGTCCCGTATTTTCTTTCTCATATTGACTGCCAATCTTTTAGTATCAACGCCAATTCTTCTAAGCCTCCATGTTCATTTAATTCATATTCTCGTTCGCAGCAAAATTCCATGAACATTCCCCAAATATATTTGTGACTGTATGTTGTATTTATGGAAATATTTCCCTTGATTAGCGCATTTATACTTTGAACTTTCGCATTGCCAAAGCGTGACATTTCGAAATTTATTTTGAATGAAGTTGTCAAACTCAATAGTGCCGTTAGTTCATCCTGGTGCCGTCATAGTGATTGATAATTGCACTGAATGCAATTATCAGTATTATGTTGGATTGATTGGTTGTGTTCAATCATGTGACCACAAATCATTTGATTTCATTGGATTTCTACTTAACCAAAAAATGTTCACCCTAAATTCCAGTTATATTCGGATGTGTTTTATTTTTGTTTTTGAAGATGAATCCAAGATATCAGAATACCCAGGGCCGTTCCTAGGGTGTCGGCCGCCCGCGTGCATAAACCTAATGTGCCGCCCCTCTAGAGAATTTTTCATATTTTTTAACTATAATACCTGATGACTTCATAACTTCAACTACTTATACAAGGATAAGAAGTAAAACACAGAAAAAAAATGTAGACAAAATCTTCATGCGCCGCAGGCGAATTTTTTCTGAGTTCAAGGTCAAATGCTTTCAGGTAATAACTCCATTTCAGTGCATACCGGGAGCGGCCAAGAAACTCAGACAAAATTTTCCTATGGCAAAAAATGCGCCGCAGGCGAAATTTTTGTTGGGATTCAAATTCATCACATTAGTATATTATAGTTTATTGTAATTGATATAAAATGATCTGGAATCTGAAAATAAGAACAATAAGAAGAGCAAGTGAAAAGTATTTTAAATGGTGTCTGTAGTTTAACCAAGTGGATGTTCTCCAGATTTTTTGGGATTTTCTCTCATAGTCTCTTAGTAAGTAGTAGAAATGCATAAATAAGCTACCGCACAGTGATGGAACAAAACATCCTGAGGCGTCTGAAAAATATGCCCCTTGGTTATTGTTTCAAATAGAAATTTAAAATTTGGGAAGATAAGAATGTGTATAAAAAGTAGACATTAATTGACAATGGACCAACACACTATTTACTATCATTTTATTTATTCAAAATGCAGCATATTCATTCGACTTACGAGTTTCAAATAATTTTGTTTGATAGGACAATATGCGGCCTGCGGCCGCCCCTTGTTTTGGCCGCCCGCGTGCGGGGCACGCGCTGCACACCCGCTAGGATCGGCCCTGAGAATACCAGTTAATATATCAGATGTCTCTAAAAGGATTATCTGCATCTAGATAGATCAGTAAAACCTTTCCATATATCATTTTTGACTGTCAGGTTTCACATTTTAGATGCCGTATAGCCAGCCCTTCAGAGATTGCCAGGAAAAAGAGCTTGCTATTAGGAGGATGACATACATTTTAATAACAGTGATGAGCAACTTAATTCTCTCCAGACCCATTATGAGAGTTCGGTTTTATTTTTATTTCATATTGTGTAAATACAATCTCTGGAGTAGACAGAATCATGAGCGGAAGTGAAATTTCAGTGATTTTGTATCATAAAATCACGGAGAGTTCTGCCATTAGCTAAGTAATGAAGCAGCTTTTTGACCAAGGCATTGAAAATAAAAGCTAATCTTTTTCCGAGTATTTTCCTCTCTATGCCTGTCCTCTCATCATCTGGAAGTTATATACGTATACTAACTGTTAAAATGAGCTCATGCACATCAAACAACATACAGCCCACACAAAACCATCTGAATTCAGCAAATGTCGGCTATTCATCGCCCACAGAAACCATCAATCAAAACACGAAATCCCTAAATCAATGAAATACACAGTTCTGTTTTCTTTATACAGTAGTTTTCCGGTTACTGGTGGTTAACCATGTTCGATCAATTTTCTTCTAGTACGGTGAATGGATATTGACTATACGACCACTCAAGGGCTTATTAATTCGTCATCATAGTGATACGTTCAATCATTCAGAGTTAGTTGAGACTATGGAATCACCTATACTCTTGCAACGTTTTATTACTAATGATTTCGGAATTGAATTGACTATTTTTCACATGGAAATACCCAATTTCAAGAGAAAAATGATGCGATATCATGCTAGGTGCTTCCGTACATTACACTCACTCTATACTTACATATACTGCTCACTATACTAATATTATGAACAGGGAGATTTTGAAGTACACATACATTTTCCAGTAGGTTCAGTAAAACATTATACTTCTTGCACAGGCTTACACGTTATGAAGCAGATTCTATATCAAACATTCGTTTTGTTTATCTTTCATAATTTTCTCTTGTTCATGTAGCCAGATAAACAACGGCTACCCCAATTTGTTACCTCTACGAAGAGTAGGTACTGGCCAGAAGGAAACTTTTCCAAAATGTTGAAATTGAATTATCACGTAATGATTTATAAACTATCAAATTCGATATCCAATATGATCAAGAAAGTGAAGTTGAAACTCATATGGACAATTTGAAAAATAATTTAATTGAAGAATGCCATCATTTTAAACACTGCGCATTTTTTCAAGTTGTGCCACCACAAATTCCAGCTGCAAAAGATCTTTTTTGGCACTCATAAATTATAGCATCTAAAATCATTTGCGATCTCCTTTGGAACAGAGCAAATTAAGTATTTTATCCACAGAGTTAGTGACATATTCAATGAGATGAATACGTGTGATACTTTCGATTAATTTGCAAAGGAAAAGGCTATAAGATACTCCTATTTCTTGTTTGCTATAAAGTTTGTTTTTGGTCATAAATTGTTCGTAAGTTTGTCTGAACTTTATGTTTTGTGTAATGTAATAATAATAAATTGACTATATCAGCTCGTTCCATATCCCGCGTATATTTTCTTATGGAAGGGAGGCGCATTACTTTTATAGTAGCCCACGAGCATCCAATATCTTAGGACGGCCCTGGTGAAAACATCATTTCATTCTTCAAATCGTCATATATCGTCAGAAAATTCAATTACTTTATGGACCGAGCGTCAAAATTCAGTATAAGGAAAAAGGAATGCTAGTGATGGGATTTAATAGGTAAATTAAAAGGAAAAAACCCTGCTCCTTCTTCAAGCTCAGCGAGGTGAAGCTGTTGGCGATGAAATAACCTTTACTTCATAAATAATGGGCTTTTATGTTTCAGTTACCATCACTGTTGGAGCTATAAAAACTTCACGGGTAGCGAGAGATATTTCAAGAATGAGATTAATCTCCTGTTGATTTGTGGTTATTTCAAAGATGAAGCTGCAGTTTTTCTCTAAACATCTAATATATCGGCAAAGTTGCATTTATTCATTCATTGAAGGGACACTTGAAAATGTTTCTCGAAATTGGGTAACCTGTATAGTATTCGTTACCATTATGTTAACATATTCGAATATTAGAACATGGGTATGAGATGTTGATGTAGCAAAAAATCTATACAGGTTGTCTCAATGGTAGATTGAAGTCGCCAAGGTGATTCTGAAACGAAAATAGCATTCTTCTAGAGTCTCGAGCAAATTTCTCAATTACTTCATATATAAAATCTATATAAAATCGAATTTACCTATCTTTATTTACAAGGTGTCCATTGATAGTAATTAAAAAAGTCACTGATAAGCGATCAGGATAGGGATTTAAAGAATGCGAATTCTCGATGTTTTTCTATATATATATATATATATATATATATCCATTTTTTCATGTTCATAAATTATCTGAGGATATTCCTTTTCAGTAATATATAGTTAACTTTCCTGAACGAACATTTCTAATATGCATGATTTCATGAAAAATCGACCTGAAGTTATTAATTTCCCAGGAATAATTTGATGACATCTGTTACTTCTTACCAATTACCTGAGGGAAATGTTGTTTTCCTTGAGTTTTGTCATTGAATGAAAGATTAAAGGTGATTTTTTAATGCCGCTGGCAGATTTAGCAACTACCAGACAAAGATAACTAATTATGAGATAGAGTTGCCCATTCAATAAAGATTCCGGAATGGTATAACATATGAGGTTATTCAAAACAGCCATTTTCTTATTAATTTTTTACATATGGACGACGAACATTGAATTATATCTCAATGCATTTCTTCATATATATCTATTTTTTTATGTTCATGATTATATCTGAGAATATCCCTTCCCAATACTTTCACCCAATCAAGAAGAAGTTTCTTAATATTTGCTTTAAAAGCGTTGTGATTCAACTTTTTCTAAGCTGGACCCTGCTTATTGTAGAGGTCAGTGTTTATGGACTTTTTTCAGAAATATTGCGCCTGAAATGATAGAGGGAAGAGGAAGGCGGCGTATAAAGTGAGACACGCTGTATATAACATACATTAGTATATTTGGAGTGTTCACTTTTAGCTACTTCTCATGAGGTTGTAACGTGTGCAGGCCCATTAGGTACATTTTTTTCAATCATCCGGATCTCTAGCAGGCTCTCAGTCAACCTTTTTGGCAATTCCTGTGCACGCCAGTAGTTAGAATTAAACAACAGCCTGGGCACTCGAGATTTACGAGAATTCAGCTAATGGTCTGCCGTAATGTCTGCTGTATCCGCACAAACGTACTTTTTTGTTGTAGATCGTGCTGAAGGCGTGCCGGAACACAATAGTCCCTACTGGGATCTTCCGCCATATTTTGATAATTCGACGAAGAAGGAATATGTCACCACAGTGGGGCAAACCGCTCATTTGCATTGCCGAGTCAGGAACCTAGGAGACAGAGCCGTAAGTTCAACTCTAATTCCTAACAAATTTGAATTGCCAGACGAAATGGTCAAATAAAACTGGAGTTGTAGAGATTCAGTGTTCCTGAAATGCTGACTGCATTTTGCTTGGTTTCCGAATATAGTGAGATACATTTGCATGGCCTCACCATTTCTGTGTACCATAGAACGCGTTGAGCTATAAAGTATTATTCGAGTTTTATGTCATCCCTATCAATTCCGGATGATCTTTCAGATTTTATACAGGAAACTACTTCTTATAACGTTCCTAATCTCATCTGTGCCTCTATAATATATATTATTATCATTCTAACGACCTTAATGTTTTTTATAGTTCTTAAAGCTCTCAAACTCGCGAGCATTTAGTAATCCTTGCAGTACCTCGGCGCCCAAGAAGGAATTCGGAATCCAAAAGTTTCGACTTCTGGGTAGTTGGTTCTAGGGTCCCTTGATGCAAACTGACGTATTTCATCTAACAGGGTACGGACAGATCATAGCTCCATTCTCTTTTGATCATCTAGTGACTTTGGTTTCGTCTATTGGCGTCCCTGACATGACATTGCTGTCACGTCACATTCATAGGCGTTAAAAGAGTTCTTACAAAATTCAAATTTCATACTTTATCTCAATACGACATCATTCAATTCTGTTTTGGAAGGATGGTAAAATGTGCTGCGTTAGGCTGTATCAATCAGTTGGATGGCAAATTTGAATTTGTCAGCTTTCCATCAAATGCAAATGGACTTAGAACATGAAAATTTAAGTGACCGAATGGGGAAAAGTGGTGAATACATCAGCAAAATATTCGGGGTAAAACTAATACTAAATCACATATTATTTGCAAGTTCTTGAATGCATTCTAGTAGGAACAGTTTTGATTAAACGGAGGATTAAAAGAAGGGGCATATGCCCTGCCATATAAAAAATTATACCTACATTCAGGAAATATTGAGTGTTTATGAAAAACTGCAAAAATGATCCCGAACATGAATCTATCCAGCACACATGACATATAAGCACATTAGTTTGAATACCTATAAACTATTCTTCACCATTTCTCAACCATAAGGCTTAGTCTGAAATCGAAAATCATTTCATTGATAGGTACTGCCTAAGAACAGTCCCATTTGGTAAAACGTATTGAACTTTCAGAAAAATTTGCTCACTGCCTCACAAGGATTATGCTGGAGTTGAAAAATCAAAAACTCGAAAATTATCATTATCATTTGGATAAAATATATAGAGTTGAATGAGAAATTACATGTGGAAATTACGTATGATACGTCAATGTCCTCAATATAACATATAGATGGAACTATATAACTGTTTCATAAACACTTTAGAGTGAGAGGAGACGAGGATCTGTCCGTACCCTGTTAAGATGACAAATACGACAATTTACATCAAGGGACCCTAGTTGGTTCTAACTTCGCGGTATAGCCATATAATTTTTATACAAATCAGCTGATTGCACCGTGAGCACAGCTAATACAGGGAAAAATAATTTGAATATTTACTGTACCTAATATTGTTATTTCTATTCAGGCCAGGTGGCAATATTGTTGTTTAAGAGTGGTTAAACTTTTAATCTCACCCATGAATATACCACTATTAGATGACTTTATTCAAGTACGGTTGAAGATTCGGTTTTCACAATTTCAGATTGGCATTGAACTCTCGGAATGTGTGTAAGAAATTTGAAGTTTTATATTAAGGATTTTATATAATAGTTTTTGGAACAAAATTATTTTGTTGATTGATATGGACTGTAATATTTGGTCAGTGATCACATAAAACTGTTTACCTAAAACTTCATAGTTAATCATCCTCGGAATACTCGATTTTTAACAGTTTATGACAGTTCGTTGCTCTTGTGAATTCAGTAATAATGATAGTACGATTGAGTAATATTGTGACACCCTTTCGTTCTATTCTATACTTAAGCTCAGCACAATAATTCTGTTTGTGTCTCGCAAATTCAAAAGACTCATCTTATATAGTTCTCATAGTTTTAATCGCCTTTATACAAATAGACAGATGAATGAGAACTCGCTGTTTTTCATTGTCAACCATGAGTGACCAAGAATTATCAGTTTGTGAAACACAAGTATTCGTTTTGCGCACACATTAAATGCAGTCGATTCGAATAGAGTACATAAATGGATTTAGCAATTTTGAAATATACAAGATGTCCCATAAGTCATGGCACAAGAGAAGTGGGGTAGTAGGAAGGATCATTTCCAATCAAACTAACTGTATATGTGGTTATCCAATAATTGATGGTTCAAAAGTTATTAATTTTCCTTCATTTCTATAAAAAACAATGCTATCCACATGGATGAACCTTTTGCCAGAAATAATTTGATGACATCTGTTACTTCTTACCAATTACCTGTGGAAAATGTTGTTTTCCTTGAGTTTTGTCATTGAATGAAATATTTAAGGTGATTTTTCAATGCCGCTGGCAGATTAAGAAATCACCAGACAAAGATAACTAATTATATGAATCAGTTGCCCATTCAATACAGATTCCAAAATGGTATAACATATGGGGTTATTCGAAACAGTCTTTTTCTAAGTAATGAATAATTTTCTTTTGACCCATCAACAATGTGATACTGGTACTGGTACTGGTGGGGGACGTTTCCACGTCAGCAACTAGTCCCCAATGGGACCTTTTTGCAAACCCCAAGTGTTTTCAATGACTGATGTGGTTCGCTCAAGAGAGCTGGCTAACATCCTTTTCAGGCACCGCCCATCAGCTCTCTTTTCAGAGTTTTTCAGCTGTGTTTTGTAGGCTAGTAATGTACTCACTACCATATGCGCAGTGGCAGGCCTGCTAACTATCATCGTTAACCCCCGAGACCGAGGTCTACTTAAGCAGCTGGCCCGCTCTCACAATGTGATAACTACACATACCGTTAGTTTGATTGCAAATGACCCCCACTCCCTACCATCCCATTTTTTTTTTCATGACTTATGGGACACCCTGTAGACCTATTTTCAAAGATATATTCCTGAACTCTTGATGTTGCTCTGATGTCTGAATATTTGTAGATAAAGTACAATAGCTATCACCCACTCAGATGATTACAGAACTCGCCTTCTACTCGTACTGCAAATTTCATGTTCTAGAGTTATATACCTAATCAGAATGATAAATAAAATGTGTTTGGTGAATCTCATTTCCGACCTTTCCTCTTCAGTTTTGAAATGTGAGTATTCCTGCAGTTCCGCAACAGGATTACACTTGAGTATGACGAAAAACATGTTGAGTTTCATTTAGCATATAGGGTACAAATTTTATTCTGAATTTGCAAGATTAATGTTTGTATACTTACCTAACCCCGCACAAGTTTCGACTTATGGGGCGTTTGGTCCCAGTGCTGGGATCAACGAGGTAATGTAATTGCAAAAAAAAACAATCATCTATACATTATTTGAGAAATAGCGAATATTCTATACACCGATTCATTTGTTTCAGCAAAGCTCTCATTAAGTATCAGATCGTTAAAAAGCTTCACAGTTTACATGCATGCATATGACCATCAATTCACTCCGATATATTTCAGCAGATTAGTCTCCAAATTATTTTATAGCGGTTTTATAACTCCGATATCGATGAAAACAAATGACTGTTATAACCACACCAGAGAAATAATAATTGTTATGTGGAAACGTAAACCGAAACCCAATGCAATCCAATAAAGGCATAATCGACTGTATAAACCAAACCCTTTAACAAACCTTGTGAGCTAAATCCCATTGAGATTTGTATTCCTTCAAAAAAGTGCATCAATATTACAAAATAGCTTCCGTAATGGAAGTTGTAGTGAAATACCGCGGATAGGAGAAAACATTGGACAGACACTGTATATATCTTTCTCATCCTTTTAACAAACATTCGCATTTCACAACCACTTCAACGTTGTTATTCAGGCAGAAAATATCACATAAATATTTGACAACATTATCTTGTTTGCAAATTAGTTCATGCAAATTCGAAGGGCATAAATATTCAAATTTCAGCCAGACAATTAAGCTTTTCACTTTGTACATATACAAACGATAAGTCAGCTAAATCTGCGGTGACAAAAACCGAATTATCAAAATTAATTGCAATGAATCAGGACAGCATATTTTATTTCTCTATCTAGTCCGATATTTTCATACATGTTCATCTATACATCGATTCCAACTGTAGCCACCAGGATCATTCATCAGATGATGCACACAAAAAACCATTAATATAGACAAAATGGTTTTTGATTGCATTTGAAATTATTGGCAGTTATTGAATATTGTACAACCAAGGGTACTTCAAATTTGAATTCGTATATAAACAGTGTGCGAACCTATAGGATGGAATAAAATCTGTATCTACATAACAATAATTTTATTTTTGGAATTCTATTTTTACCACAACAATTTTTCGGTAACCTCTCAACCTCCTACCCCACAGATCAACCTCACCAAAATTATTTGAGGGGCCAAGTTACACCTTGTTGGAAGGTATTTCAAATCTTACAACGGTCTTTTTTTCTCAAATTCAGTTATAACCGCAAGAGAGCCGTCGAAAGATTCAAAATTGATTGAAATTTTTGTCTGAATATTTGCTAATTTTAGGTTCTCTTCTATTGTTTCACTTGTACAAGTTATTCACCTGACATTCAAAAAATCAGTTTTTCATGCTGAATATAATGGTAAGTCGAGTGGTAAGTACTATTGGTAAAACTGCATTTATCATGCGATGGGTTTTTTTCCAAATTTTTTTTGGTTCTTACGTATTTTTGTCTGAAAATAACAACATGCAACACAAGGGGAAAAAGAAGGCGAAATTTCGAACTTTTTCTTGAAATATCTCGATAAATAGTGGTTTGTTCACATTCTCATTATCATATTGGTGTTTTTCAGACAAAAATACGTAAGTACCAAAATAATGTTTCGAGAAAAAAACCCATCGCATGATAAATGCAGTTTTACCGTACATTGTACATAGGC